AGATTAATCACCATCTTTGCTTCAACCAAAGTGACTTGAAAGCAACTGATGTCCGAATTACGACTTCTCAGCTTGTAAATACTATCTTCCCAGGAGGACTTGAACACACCATAAAGCACTGCAGTTGAAATCGAATACGTCTCTATTATACATTATGCGAAAAACTGTAAGACAAAAGTAGTACATATGAATTCATACACTCTAAAAAATGCTGGGTTGTTTCAACCCAACATTGGGTCAAATATGGACTAACCCAACCATTGGGTTACATTTTTACATTAAATTTTGAACCCAAAAGTTGGGTTAGTCCATATTTGACCCAAAGTAGGGTTGAAACAACCCAGCATTTTTTAGAGTGTAGTATTGCAAAAACAGTACCAAGATGACCTACTACTTCCGGCAAGATTTCGGATACAACGTTGGGCTGAATTTAGAATAGCACACTAGCATTCTAACAGTAAATCTGAGCAATAGTAATGCTGATGCTTGCCTTAGCAAATACCACTAATAATGTGCTATTAAATTATAATAAGGAAAGGAAGTTGTTGTTGTTTTTTTCCATGAGTTGATGCAACACTATATATTTTAATTTTAAGTGGCAACTTGCCCTTTCAGATTATGGAGTAGTGTGCACTAGATTTAATGTGCTTTGGTCACTGTGGCAAAATAACCCTCCATTTACGAATGACAGCTATTTTAATTTTGAAAATCAAAACAGACCAATGTTGCCCAAGACTCTCTCTCTCTGTTTCTCTCTCTCTGTGTCTGTGTGTAGTCTTTAGGCTACGGCTGCTAATATCATCAGTTCTGACTTCATAGCTCTCCAGCGTCCTACTAAAACCAAAACTAACCATTATCTATAACTATACCACTGCCCATTGCCATATGGCAGTGAGATTATTTCCTATTTTCCTGAAAGATCGTTCTGTTTCCCTCTGCCTTCTATTTAAGTAGAGACTGCGAAAACAAAACACAGATGATTATATAAGGGGGCTGATCGCTACAACTTCAAGCACACTTGTTTGTGACCTTCACAACCTGAGGACTAAAAATAAAAATGTGTGAAATCGGTTCTGTTGAAATCAAAGCAGAATTCAAACAAATGTAAATCAGAAAGCTTCCAGTTGAAGGTCAACTTGCATAAGGATGACACAGTAAAAAAACAACAAACCTGGGGTGTATTCCAGAAAGTGGGTTTTGTTGGAAACTCAGAGTTTGTTAACCCCAGAAAAGGGAACTCAGGGTTTTCGGTTCCAGTAAAAGACAAAACTAAACCTCTCGGTAAGTTACCATAGTAACTTATTCTGTGAACCGAACCTGGTCAGGAGTAGGTTTTCTTCGGTAAACCCAGAGTTTCTTTCGGTCTCCTCCCCCTTTTTAAAGTGTAAGCAATGTTTAAATACCTCATTAATTCATTCACGCTACAAAAATGGCTTTTATTGCTGAGATTTATGCCTTATTTCAAGTACAAATATCTAAAAATTCTTAAATCATGATGCATTTTCTATATAAGAAATATACGATATTTCGTCTTGTTTCCTGGGGTAAACAAGTAAAATGCCCCGCGAATTTCCTGTAGATGATCATCTACAGGATCCCTTATAAAAAGACATGCCTCGAGGAGGCTGCATTAATTCGCGGGGAGTTAAATCTACATCAGGAGAGGATTTAATTTAATTTGATTAAATTTATTTATTTTGCCATATCCACATGCATATTTATTTGAACGGTACCATTTTTAAATGGCGTTCACTTGATAACATCTTGTTGCGACCTCTAAGTAACCTAATAATTAGAATTTCCTTTAGGATTTCCAGTGTGGTTGGATGCATTGATGACACACATATTCTCACCATCGCACCTTCCGAAAATGAAGCTGATTACTGTATGGAATGGAAGGATGCCAGATGGAAGGGTAGTGCAAGATCTATGCCGTAACCACCACCACAGCTGTTAAATAAACACAAATTATTCACAGTTTATATGGTCATCTTTATGTTCTACAAATACTAAAGCAACAAATTATTCTTTTCCCTGTTGGATTTTAATATTGGTATTGTGGCCATCTCCTCTTCATCTATCAGTGGTGCTGGTGCAGGTTCTCCTCCCATTTTATGAGTCTCTGCCTTTAGCTGTTCTGAAACCGAAAACTCAAGAGTTTCCAATCTCAGGGTGTCAACTCAGAGTTCAAGTTTTAACTCCGAGTTTGTTGAACCTCCTTTCTGGAATAGACCCCTGACCTCATCCCCATTTCTGACCCAACACAGTGAATGTGTGTCTGTTTGAAGAGCATGTAGGTAAACACATTTGTGTGTGTATCTGGGGTATGAATCATATTATTGTTGTTTAGGATTTGATTAAAGCTTGAATTTCGAATTTCTCATGGACCAGCAATCAATCTTTATGTTCATTCCTATAGTTAGCTGTTTGTATGGTTTGAACAAGGATTGATAAAGTCCTATTTTCTTCCTAATTCTTTTGTTATGAATGGGATTTCCTGCAGTAGAATACACACGGATTGCATACAATGCACATTATTTACAACCTTCTCTTATATCACTGATGATTCAACATGTTTGTAGCCTACATACAAGCATGTAAAAATGCTCTAGAGTGAATATATCTGAGCACAACCTTTTAGACAAAATCTGAATACAATTATGAAGGATACTGAAGTCGCAAAATGACAGTCATTTCCACACAGACTATAATGTAGTGTATGTTACTTCTTCTAGTTTAGTGGGATCTAAAATGGCAACCAATTACGTCTAACCCTCAGGCTTTAGCAAGTAAAATACCCATATAAGTGAAGAATTCAATGGCATGAGTAAATAAAAAATCTAAACACTTGGTTCAGAAGTGGAATTTTATTTTTAGGTCTCTACAAATGTGTATTTATTTTCCTGGAGGCAAACACACATAACTAATCTAATAAGCAGTGAAGTGTTTTATATGCTAATATAGTTCACTCTCTCCTAGACACCATTTCAAACTGATTCCATTAAAATGAGTTTGCATAATTGAGCTTCTGAAAACTGTAAAGGGCCCGTTTTCAAGATACTGTGTCATTTGTGCCTGAAAATTTTAACTATTTAAATTTTTTTTTTTGCATTTCTTAGCATTTAATTTGTATCTTCCCACCCTTAGATCCAAAGTACCAGGGTTATAAGTTCCAGAGGCTCTGGGGGATTAATATTTTTTAAAATGTATTTTGCATTACACACTAAACCGTGTTAAGTCTATCAAATAATGTTGCCGACAAATTGCAACCGTTTACTGAGAGAGAAAGACAGACAGGCAAAGGCAACTGGTGACCATTAGCCAAAGAAAAGTGGACCTGCATGTTTCTTTCATCACTGATAGTTGTGGAAGTCTAGTTATGCACGCTTGTTCCCATCAGTCATGCAGGACCACCTCAGATGACTGAAGTCTTTCTGTTTGGTGGGTGTCACATGCAAGCAGAGCATTTTCATGTGGCTGCTTAATATCCCACAGCACATGTTGGTCAAACAGTCAAAATACTGTTCCTGTCATTTTAATAGTTAACTCCACCATATAATGCATAGAGTCCAGCTGCTACAAGCATAAAAAAACAACCCTTGTAAAAAAGAAGGGTGCTTAACTGTATTGAATGTGAACTTGTTATGTATTTCAAACCTTTTAAGTATTTTTAATATAAATATATTAATGAAATAAAAGGCTACTTAAGTGTACTTAAAGATAGTACACTTTCATGACTATATTTCTTAACACACTTAAGTACACTTTTAAAATGTCCACTTTATAATAACTCCCCAGTTTAAAAAAAAATTACTTTTACCATTATGTTTGAATAATCTTTTATCATGCTTTATAGTACTACGCTTATTTTGGTCTGTTGAATAAAATACTAAAGCACATGTAAAGTATTTGATAATCATTTTAACTGTAGTGTGTTATTTGATATTTCATTTAAAGTTTATATTTTTTAAACATACTAAATTGGAGCTGTGTAACAGTTGAGTATTACAAATGTATATTTACATAAATAACACAAGTTTCAGTAAAAGTACATTAAAGTATATTTTAGTATTCCATAAATACTTGTCAGCATTTATTTCAAAGATTATAGAAATAATGTTGAAATTACATATTTTTTTACATCCTATATAAGTGCGAAAAAACACTCTTAAGTTCAACTAACTGCTTTTAATATAACTTTTAATTATAATACAGCAACATTTTCATTTAATTGTAATTAACATGCAATTAAATGTCTGAAAACGTTACATTCATTTCAAACTCAATTGTATTCTTTTAAAGTATGTTATTTCCATAATAAGTACTCTTTTTAAATGTTTGTGTACTACTTTTTCACAAGGAAAACTAAAAGGGAAAAAAGAGAATTCCATTTCAGCATTTTGAGTAGTTGTAAAAGTAGTCAGCTTTTCCTGATTTCTATGTTCAATAAGCATTTCCTTGTTGATGCTGTTGCTGAAAATCTCCAATAATACTTTTAAAATGAAGACCAGAAGAGAAAGGAGATACATAAAGAATGAATGGCATGTCCTGAGAGAGCCTCAACCACTCTGTGCCCTATACTCATGAAAAGCCCTGCACTATTTTCATGATTATAATGGATGGTGAGCACTGTTACAGTGGATTGAATTACACTTAAAGTGTGTGTGTGAGTGGGTGTCGCTGCATGTGCTCAGAGATTCTGACGGGTTACTCTAGGGTCCTCTTTCAACCAGTTTCATGTGGGGCTAGTTTCGTGAGTGCCCCAGATTGTACTAGTAAACTCGAGGCCCCTGCCATCACATGGATCCTGTTTTGAGAAACATCCCTCAGATGCAGTTATGCACAAAGCCCCGCCCACCTCTCAGTTGTTCAGCCCGCCCTCTTACTTTCATTGGAGGATTTATGCAGATTGCCTCCCACCCACTGGCTCTGATTGGGAGGGGCCACACACAATAACACTGCTTATGTTTTGCAAAAATTTTACATTGGCATTGCTTGAATGTCTTTTGTCTGCCTTTCCCTCTGAAGCCTCTCAGAAGAAGGAGAAAAGTGAAGAGATGAACAAGCTAAACTCCAGCACAGAGAGGACACAATGCCAGACATGTGATGTTTAAGGTAAGATACAGAATAAATGTGTGTGAGTGAGAAAGTGTGCAGGACCATCAGTCTGTTTTATGTAAAAGTGAATCAGGTCTACTTGAGTTGTTAAATGTGAATGTCAAAACACAGCTAGCATAACATATGTTATTCAGAGAAAGCGTGAAGAGGTTGTGTCATCTGACACATTTTAGTGATAGCACAATGAGGAGAGATATAAAAAGACTCAGACTCAGACTTAGAAGTTATGCATTGTGCAGCAATGTTTGCTTGTATAAGACTGAATATGAAATTCACTTCCAGTTGTAGCAGACTAGTTTGAAACTCTTCGCAGGATAAAATGTTTGTTCCTCTCAAGTTTCCAGTTTGGTTTTTTTTTTCCATCCGCCAAGCCTGACCTAAAACCTGAAATTGTCTGTTCCTTTCAGAGGACACAGTGTTTCAAATTTTGTTCTTAGAGCGGTAGCAGTTTTTAAGTTGTCATGAGTTTCAATCCAATTTGTGGTGTAAGAAAGAATGCAGCAGAGAGAAGTATTTAATGAGACGAGGGATTTTTTTTCCTTACTGCTGCAAAAAAGAGAAAGGAACAATAATCATTACTGTGAAATGGAGTGTGCCTTACTCAGTGAACACAGACTACATTGTGAAAGTGACCAAATAAATCCTAAATCTAGCAGAATGGCTGAATTAAGACTCAGTATTAAAGTTGTCTGTATGCTAGAAGCAACAGCACTCATAATTATTTAGTATTTATATTACAGTTGTTTATAATAGTGGTGCAAATTAATTTTCAGCATTAGGACAGAAATATCTACTACAGAAATATCTATCTATCTACAAGTACTCAAGGGGACGTCAACATCAAATGCTGTGCTATTACACTGGATGTGTCACTTTCTGGTAGATAGTTCTAAACATGTCAACAGTGCAACTTTCTTTAACTAAACTAGCAATTTTCAAACAGCTGCTCCGCCTAATTGTTAACCTGAAAGAGAAAACTGACTGCAGAAGACTGCAGAGTTTAAAATAAAGCCACCTCAGTGTCCCTGGTGACAAAGGTGAGATTTCAAGCATATGTAGAAACATTTGAGTTCACATACTAGCGTAGAGTACGTTTCAGCATATATCATGCCAGCATATGAGAGAGGTGAAAATGGGGTTGTGTCAGTCTATGTGTGTCTGTGAGTAAATGTGCATTTTAAACATGTGCCCTACCAACACAGTTTAGGTGTACCTACACAACAGGCATGTTCAATCCTGCTCCTGGAGGGCCATTTTCCTGCAGAGTTTACCTCCAACACACCTGCCTGGAAGTTTCTAGTGATCCTGAAGACCAGTTCAGGTGTGTTTAATCAGGGCTAGAGCCAAACTCAGCTGGAAGGTGGATTAGACACCCCTGTGTCCAGTGGATGTTCAGGATACAGGAAACATTTGTCAGGAAATTTTCTATGAGTGTGTTTCGGACAAGAATCCTTCAGCCCCATTTTCCTACCAGCATAAGACTATATCAGCAATGCATTTTGTTTTGTCAGACATGGCCCATATACCTAAATTGTTATATCAGTTCTTTCAGATCAGTTTGCCTTAGTATAGTCAGATACTGAGGTATGTCATAACCAAAAAAAAAGGTCAGCCCCCATTTGTTTGTTTGTCTGGCTGATCTCTGATAGAGAAGAACGGTGGAACAGACAGGTATGAAAGAAGGGCAGCTGCAATTTTAGATAAGATAGTTTTTTTTTCTACCAGTGTGACAAATGCCAAGGTGGTTGTCTGTGTGTATGTGAGCCAGTGGAAATGTTTGGTCTCAGCTATTTGTGTGTTTACTGCATAGCTCACATTGTTTGGGCTGTGGCTGCTTCTGTCGTGCCTTAAAAGTGCTGTGTGGTCAAAGAGAGATAGAGATAGAGAAAGAGAGATGGGAGGGATAGAGAGAAAGAGAAGAAAGAGTCTGGCTCTGTAAATCTGCAAAAAAGTCATGCACAACCTACTTTCATCTCAACTTGTGTTCCCAGCATTTAGAAGCGCTTGATTCTGTTTCATTTAACACATCAGAGTAACAACAATGTCTTTTTGTCCTCAGGTGGTAGGAGACACAAACTAAAAACCACATGAAGCTGAAAACAGACTTATGTTAAGAACAATGGATACCCAAAAAGGTATGAATCACACAGTTTTGTTTAAGAACACATGGTACTGCAGTTCCAGTGGTCTGAATACATTTGGACTGCTTTGCATACTGTGCATCATTTCTGCCACTCACCTTTGTGTTTATCTTTTAGAGAACGGCATCTCTCCAAAAGAGAAGGGGAGCCAAAGAAGACCACCCTCCTATTCTGTAGAGACACCCTATGGATTCCATCTGGACCTGGACTTTCTCAAGTATGTCGATGACATTGAGAAAGGCAACACTATTAGGAGGGTGCCAATGCAGAGAAGGCAAAGAGGACGAAATAATGGCATCCTGTCACGTAACTTAAGCCTTCCAGGTTATGGATGCAGAGCTACAGAGTGGAACTCAGTAAGCACTTTATGGCCCAAAACCAAACTGGGAGACTCTCAACAACATTTCGAGTTTCGATCTAGTGACAGTGTGCCTGCTGGCTACGCCAGGAGGAGAGAACCCATCTATAAGTCCTTCACATCTGCAGAGATGGAGGCTTTTGATGAGCAGCCCTTAGGACGTTACGTCAGGCCAAATCTCTTGAGAGCCTCCAGTTTACCCTTGACCGTTTTATTGAGAAAACACTCTGAGTCAACCGAGGATCCAACCAGCCCCAGCAGCCCCAAGGAATATCTAATGCAGGAAAACGGCTCTTCTGAAGATGTATTCCATGCCTCCAACAGCAGGATAGGTAGAGCAAACGGGACGCTCCAGCGGCTCACTGCAGCTCTTGAACGAGTTGGGGAATTGCAAGAGGAGATCAGAGTCGTTCCTGAGCTCAAGGCGCAGATATGTATTTTGCAGGAGGAGCGAGAGAGACTTTTACTCCAATTACATTCTCAAAACAAAACCACCGGGCCACTGGATGTACCTACTGCTCCTCTATACATTAAGAACTGGGACACTCCTTCTTCTACCAGAAAAAATCAAGACAAAGCAAGTCATGACTGGATGAACCGAGAATATGACCGGCTAGAGGAAAATGTCAAGGCTTCTTCTGAACAAGTTGAAGCAGTTGCAATGACTTTAACTACTGAAAGAATTCTTCCAGAGATTGAAAGATGTAAGACGGTCTCACGAGAAAGAGATCTTTTGGAAAATGGAGACAAAACTAAGTCTCTCACTGAAACTCTCCAGAGAAAATTTGTTTTGCTGGAACAGACACTTCATGTACTGGAGGTAGAGCTGGACAGGACAAGAGCTTTGCTGAAGCAGCAAGTAAAGGAGAGTCTTCTCAAGGATGAGAAGATCAAGCAGTTGACCATACAGCTTGAAATGGGGCACACACTGGCCAAGGTGATTTCATCTGAGAGCTCCTTAGTAAGTACACAAAGTCTTGAACCTGTGGTAGAACTGCAGGAAACACTGATAAGTGGGAAAGAGATGCCAACAGAGGAGGCAACTGCCCCTCATGTTCTGGATCAACCTCCAGTATCAAATGCAGACATGGAGCACCATGTGAAAAGATTACAAGAGCTCCTTCAGGAGCAATGGGAATGCCTTTGTGAACACGACTCATCAGGGAAAATGTCTTCAGACCTCTTGTCTCCACGTGTCTGCACTATTCAAGAGCAGTTAACAACTTTAGTCACCCTTCTTACCCTCTATGTGTTTCCTACTGGTGATGCTTCACAACCAGGTATTACTCTGCACTCAATCGCACCTTTAGGGGTACAACAAGCTTATCACTGGGGTACCCTCAAAGGGTACTAATATGCACCCTTTAGGGGTTGTTAAGCTAAAAGGATTATATTTTGAGGCTACTGTCCAAGTGACAAGCTATTCTACAAGAGCTACTTCTTTTCTGACAGTGTATGATGAAAATGTGTTTGATGGTCTTTTGTGGTATTTCTGTGTATTGCAAGACTATAAAATGATGGAAATTCTTCTTGACGTAGGAGAGAACCCCAAGACAGAACATTTGAAGACAATCAGCATAAGAGACAGGTAAATATATCACCACTATTGGCAATTTTTTGTAAAACAGTACTAATGGTCTTGGAATAGAAATTATTTTTGTATAGTCATACAGAGTGACTTCAGACTAATCCACTAAAACAGTGACTTCAGAATACTAATGCTCTTTGACCTTCAACATTCTGAAGTGGGAGCGTGGAGACAGAGGGAATAAGTACTGCTATCAAACTACAAGAGCATGCAGAAGTGGATGTTGGCCTCAAGAAGAATACAACTAAAGAAGAAGGCAAACTATGGACCACATGGACAACAGATTCCAGCATACAAACATGCAAAAGTAAAAATGCAGAATTCAATCCAAAAGAAGATGCCATAGATGTAGAGACCACACAACAAGAAAATATGCACAAGCAAACAAGTCAGGCAAGAGCTCTAGAGGATCAGACAGAGGAAGAGGGGAAGGATTGCATTTCTTTGAGCGTGGACTTGGATCAGAAATCTCTGGCAATGAAGGAAAACAGGTGAGATGAATACATCTTTAGGTCATACAGCAATATGAGATTTAGTAGCTTTCTTTTAAATTTTAAACACAAATGGAAACCACCTGTTTTTTTTTTCTCCAGGGAAGCTGTTGATAAAGATTTCATAGAGGCATGCTATTTCCTGAGAGACCACATGGATAAAGTGTCAGAACCTGATAATGAACTGGTAATTCAAACTAACTAGTTTATATGTGTAATATTCCCAGCTTGCCTGTTTTGGGTGGTGATTTGTACTAGTTTGAAGCTAGAAACCAAAGGGTTGATAGTCTAATCCCTGCGCGGAATGAGACATGAACCAACACCACTGAACCCTTGAGCAAGACACATTGGGCAGAATTTACTAAATAGGGCAAATTAGCGTAAGACCAGAATCCCATAAAAGTGTCATAAATGACCAATGCAATCTACCAAGAGCAGCATAAATTAGAAACTATTGCAGCCATGTCAAGCACAAAATGGGTTAAGACATGCTTTTTGGGTGTTAAATAATGGCACAAATACCAGTTAATTGACTAGCCTAAACCTTAGTAACTCATGTCAAATTTTGCACCTGAAAGGGAAACTCCTACAAATGCACATGCAATAAGGTCAGTCGCAAAAATAACTGTGTCCATGCCTTTTCATAGCCAATTTTTCACTGTCTCTAGTAAATCTTGACAGCAGGTTCTTAACACTAAAAAGAGGGTGTGCGCTGGTGAAAGAGCTTTGAGTAAATCTGGCCCTTAATCTCAGGTACCTCCAGGGAGATTGTCCTTGTAAGAAGTGTACTGTTAATTGCTGTACTTTGGAGACAAGCACCTGCTAAATGACTATTTACTACTTCTGCCAGGTTTGACTCTGCCAGATAATGAGTTACCACAGTACCATGCAGAGCTGAATCCGTACAAATTTTTAAAATGTTTTTGTTGTCCTGTTAAGTGGTACCTCTAGTATTGGTCTTCTTTGATGATTTGCAGAGCCAGGCTCTCACTGTGGTGTTCCAGCAGTGGTTTCACATCTCTGCTGAGGAGGGAGCATGTGCCGACATTGTTGCTTTGTATCTCAATGAGGTTAACTCACAAACACCTACAGTCCTTCAGTTCCTGGTCAACATGGCGGATGATAATGGGAACACAGCCTTGCATTATAGTGTGTCTCACTGTAACTTCAGCATCGTTAAGCTACTTTTAGACACAGGTCAGTGATGATATACTTTTTTTTTGTCTCATTTTCTCATATTTTTAACTGTTTGGAAAGAAATGTTTTCTTTCATTATGGTGTAGAAAATTACGTTATCTTTGAATTCTTTGAGGCTAATGAAAGCAAAACACATTCATTGTCACATTCATTGATCCTACATAGACAGCATTTTATTCCTTCATTTAAATTAGTACTGACAAGTGTCAATAGAGTGGTGCAGGAATGAGTGCTAAAATCTGGAAACGAGTTAGCATTTTTTTGGACTTTCATCATCCTGAAGATGATGAAATGGATGTTTTTTTTTTTTGGTTAAATACCTGAAATAAGGTCTGTGGTTAATACAAGTCCATTTTTGCCACGTTTTATTCCATGACATAAAATACCTCAGTAATGGCCCCATTTTTTTTCAAAGCTTTTACCTCTTTTGAAGAAGTTGGTTTCTAACAAGTGGCTAAATAGATCTATAGAAGTACTCAAATTTTCCAACTCATCTTGGGCAATGGATTATTTGTGTGTGCCATGTCATTTTATGCTTTGCATATAGCATAGGGTGACCATACGTGCCATTTTACCTGGATGCGTCCTGGCCAGGATTTCTATATTGCCTAAAATATCTAGGTTTTGGCTTTGTTTGTGTGTGTATATCGGTGTATGGCATCAAAATACCATACAGACGGTTCCTTATGCTTTCAAAATGCTCTCGAGGTACTTTGATGTCAAACACTGATCGATCTGAGCCGCGCTGCTTTTAAGTCGAACACACATCCTATGTACGCGTAATTGCATCGCTTTGACCATAAATCCCACCTTCTCACACACACCATGATTGGTCCATTATGTACAATGCCTGCATGTTATTGGTCAAACTACTTTTTCGATCATTACCTTCAGCAAGCATGAAAACAGGAAAACAAAGCAAGGAAGCGTCCGGGAAAAATGGCACGTATGGTCACCCTAATATAGCATGGTTAGCTTAACAACATGCTAACATCAAACTCTTAATAGATCAATCATTAGTTGTGTCTCTTTTGTGCTTCTTTTGAGTACTGCTGTATTTTTAGTGTGGCACATACGTTGCTGCCTAAGTAGAACGTTCCAAATCTGTCACTTGTGGAGTTCCATTTAATTTTGGATGCTGCCTTAGAAGGTGGTAGACAGGGTGGCAGCTCACTAGGGCTTGAAAAAGAACTATTTTGTCCAAATAAAGTTTTCTTTGAATATTCACCTTGAGGTTGACCTGCTTCCAGCCTTCATCCATTACATTTTCAGTGATTCAAACAGAAAAACAGTTCAAATTACATTTTCATTGCAGTACAACAAGTGCCAATATTTACAAAAAGAATAAACCTAAACTGAACTAAAGGACACTTCCTGTGCTTTCCTCCTTTTAACCTTAGGTGTATGTGAAGTGGACCTGAGAAACAAGTCTGGCTACACCACTATCATGCTGGCCTCCTTGACAGCTGTAGAATCACCAGGAGACATGAAAGTGGTCCAGCAGCTGATGGAGCTTGGTGACGTTACCGCCTGTGTTGGGCAGGTGATGGGTGGCATCAGCCAGTTGGCATAGTGTACACTTTATATCAAAACAATTTGTTTGAAATGGATGGCTTATTTGCATAAGATTTGGCATGTTTTGTAACGTTTCAGAAGATGAATGTGTTTGCTTCTGTTGTAAATAAATGTGTCTTTAGGTGGGACAAACGGCTCTTCACTTGGCAGTAAGACATGGATGTGTCCCAATGGTGCGTCTCCTGCTAGAACAGGGAGCGGATCCTAATGTCCAGGATCGTGCAGGAACCACTCCACTGATCAGCGCCTGTGATCGGGGACACATCAACATTGTGCGAATTTTGTTACAGGAAACGAACTGCGACGTCAATTTAAAAGACAAGGTAATTTCTTGTGCATATCTGTCCAAACCTTAACAGAAAACAAAAACACCATACATTAATCCAACAGTATAAAGGATAATATTACAGCTCCAATAACACACGTTTACAGAAGATTTCTGGAAGGTTTAAAAGCAGAAATGTGTAGCTTTTTGTTGAAAAGTAAAAATTAAATGTACAAAATATGGCCATGATTTAGCTGAAATAAGGCAACAAATCAATAAAACATGCCCACGATTTAATAAGTTGTGAGAACAAATTGATAATTTGTGGCCATTGGCCTTTTATTGTGGCCAGCCTAAGGCACACCTGTGCAATAATCATGCTGTCTAATCAGCATCTTGATATGCCACACCTGTGAGGTGGATGGATTATCTCGGCAAAGGAGAAGTGCTCACTAACACAGATTTAGACAGATTTGTGAACAATATTTGAGAGAAATAGGCCTTTTGTGTACATAGAAAAAGTCTTAGATCTTTGAGTTCAGCTCATGAAAAATGGGGGCAAAAACAAAAGTGCTGCGTTTATAATTTTGTTCAGTGTATATTAATTCTTCCCTAAAAAAATTCCTCTGTATAGCCAACATCCAACCTAAAGGTAAAAAGATTTGAAAAGTTTTATATAATAATTTATGGTTAAAATACGTTGGTTAATAAAAAAACTTTTTCTCTTTTGAAATAGGTGCTTATTCCATTTTTATCGTCAGGTTTTATATAATGCTTTTAATGCATTATATATTTTATATAATATTTACATTGTCAAATTACTTTTTACTTCATTTTAGAATACAAATTTTAATGTTGCTTCACCCATTTTTTTATTTAAAACATAACTGCACATGAATGCATAACAGTATTTTGTAATAGAAGTGAGCTAATAATTTATACAGGGTAATTAGTATATGCACTGTAACAAAAATACAAGCTGCCAGTTTTTGCGTTTAAACCATTCAGAATGGCTTGACCTCCATTGTAAGGGAATTACAAACACTAGTCAATACGAGTCAACTGTATGTCAACTATCCCTACATTTCATAAAAATGCTGCATGTTTCCAAATTTAATATTTTTATAAAAAACAAACAAAAAAAAAAACAATGAAACTTTATGGGAGGAAGACAACAGCTCTTTAGAGTAAGTTCAGCGTGGGTTAAAGGGCAGCAATGAGCCATTTCTGCTAGACAGTTGACCTGTAACAAAGTGCCACCTGCTGGACACAATCCTGTCAGACCTCTGGAAATGGTCAGTTCATGTTAACATGATGTTAGCCTCACACTCTTCAAACAACAACAGGAACTGACAGCCTCCAGTGTACAAATAACGCTTACAAAACTGTTGGTTTAATCACTTTATGTGTTATAGAAATCCTTGCTTGGCAGCTGAAATTATCCCACACAGACGTGCCTTTATCAGCTCTATACGAGAGAATGAGGAAAAAAAAAGAAAGCGAGAGATTGTGGATGCATGTAAGACAAAATGAAAGCTGTCAAGTCTGCTCCCCCACAGCTGAAACTAGAGCATTAGTCAGGTCACATCTGCGTCACATTACAACTGAAGAGCTGTTCTGAGAAATAATAAATCCTCTAAAACAGAGCAGGTGCTGTAAAGACTTCCTGCAGTCTTTCAGATAGAAGTGTCCTTATTAATGTCCAACTGTTCGATTCATACATATGACATTCAGGGAATGGTAAATAATTACTAATGATGGTAGTAGTTTTAGACTGTTACTAAGAAACCCAAAATCTTTCAATACAATTTCAGCCTTTTTGTGTGTGCGTGTGTGTGTCAGCCTTTTTGTGTGTGCGTGTGTGTGTGTGTGTGTGTGTGTGTATAAACATTACCATTTGAAAATGTGGGATCAGTATGATATTTTAATGTTTTGAAAGGAGTCTCTTATGCTCATAAAAGCTACATTTAAAAACAGTAATATTGGGAAATATTATTTCAATTTTATAATGTTAAAAAATTAAATTTATTCATGTGACACAAAGTTGAATTTTCAGCATCATTACTCCAGTCTTCAGTGTCACATGATCCTTCAGAAATCATTCTAATATACTGATTTGCTGCTCATTTACGTATTATTTTCAATGTTGTCAATTTGTCAACAGTTGTGCTGCTTATTTTTTATTAATTTGTTTTGGAAACAGTGATAGATTTTTTCAGGATTTTTTGATAAATACAAAGTTCAAAAATAATTGAAATAGAAATTTTGTAAAATTATAAATTATTTATGTTTTGTTATGTTATATTAGTATAAATATTAGTTATTGTAGTTAATAAAGTATTATATTTATTATGACATAATTTGTTGCGTTTTCAAGGTCATCATAATAGGTGTTTGAACTAAAAGAGAGAAGATAAACAGCTTTTCTAGATGTATAAATCATTTTTAATTCCTTTTTTTTTTTACTCATTGAAAGTTCAAAAGAACAGCATTCACTTGAAATATAATTTTTGTTTTGTAACAATGTAAAAGTCTTTGCTGTCCCTTTTGATAAATTTAATGCATCCTTGCAAACTAAAAGTTTATATTAAAAAAAATTAAAAATCTTACTTGACCTAAAACTTTTGAACAGTAATGTGTATATACTAAAATGTCTTGTTTTTTTTTGTGTACACACACACAGGTTTGTTTTTATGGTTTATGGGGACTCTCCGTAGGCGTAATGGTTTTTCTACTGTACAGACCGTATTTTCTATTGCCCTACACCAACCCTACCCCTAAACCTACCCCTCACAGGAAACTTTGTGCTATTTCAGATTTTCAAAAAAACTCATTCTGAATTATTTATAAGCCTTTTGAATTACGGGGACACTGAAAATGTCCTCATAAATCACCTTCTCGTTGTAATGCCTATGTCATACCCATGTTATTATACAAATTTGTGTCCTCATAAACCACATAAACATGCACACACACACACACACACACACACACACACACACACACACACACACACACACA